CCCCAGGGAGACTTTGACTCCTTCACCGTCCAGTACAAGGACAGTGATGGGCGGCCCCAGGTGGTGCGTGTCGGGGGCCAGGAGAGGGAGGCCGTCGTGAGAGACCTGGAGGCTGGGCGCAGATACAAGATGAACCTGTATGGACTCCACGAGGGTCGGCGTGTGGGCCCCGTGTCCACCGTGGGCGTGACCGGTGAGTGACTGTCAGGCGGGTCTGTGTGGGACGACCCTTTTCCTACCATCTTTGTGGTAACACTTGTTCTCACAGCAGCAAGGCTCTGTGAGCACTTCACTTTTCCTGGGGATATATAAATATGTTTTTAAAAAGCTGTAGTCTAGATAGGACACTGACAACAAACAGGGTATTCCACACAAGAGGTCTGGCATACCGAATCAACCGTCTATTAGGGTCTCTTATACGAGTGTGAGTGAAGGGTTACTTGCATAACTGCATGGATGACTCTAATGCAGGTGTATTACATAAAAACTGACCTCAACATGGATAATGACTCAGAAAGATCCATCCTTGGAGCTTTCTTCAGCTCCCCTACAAGTAACTGCTAATGCTTAGCTAATGTTGGGACAGACTTGGTGAATTTTGTAAGTTTCAGGAGATCCCTGAGATTTGTGAGTTTTCTTTACTTCCTGAGACTTGTGAGTTTTCTGTACTTCCTGAGCCTTTTAAGATTCATTTACTTCCTGGGTGTTTTGCTTTGTTTTGTTTTTGAAACAGTGCCTCTGTACATAGCCATGGCTGTCTTGGAACTCGATATGTGGACCAGGCTGACCTGGAAATCACAGAGCTCTGCCTGTCTCTGCCTCCTAAGTGCTGGGGTTAAAGGCACACGCCACCACACCTGGCTGCTGCCTAAGTTCTAATCAGCTTTCCTCCAGTAGAGAATGCTTCAGTTATTAGGAAAGAGCTACCCAATGCTGAGTGCCTTCCTCTGGCTTTTAAATTTTTCTCACTTTTCTGTAGTGTTCCCTGAGCCTTGGGAGTAGGGGATAGAAATGCTTCATTATTTTCTTTCATCTATTGCTGAGTATTGAGCCATTATGATACAGAAACTGTAACTTAGTTTCAGTAGTTTCACCCATTCTGAGTCCCTATAGTACTCCTCTAGTTGCAAGGAATAACTTTCCTTCCATGGTTAGTTAGTGTTGCTAGCAGCAGTAATCCGTGGATGTAGACACAGATGCTTAGAAGGCAGTCTGATGGGTGTATCATAGCCATTTAATAAAGCGATAGCGGTTGCCTCTTCTCTAGACACAGGCCTCTGTCCCGCTTTACAGTACCAGCTGTGTGTTCCCTCCTGCGGAGCGGACTTGAAGTCTAATCATTGTCATACCCACAGCGGTCACACCACGATTGTACCAGTGGTCTCTCGTCTTGCCTGCGTTGATGCTTCTGTAGTGTTCAGGGTTCGTGGACAAGCAGGACTGTTGCTGGTGATTTTCCCCCAGCAGCCTGTGCGGTGCCTGTGACAGGCAATACACATGCAAGCCAGCAAGAAGGGCCCTCCAGCTGAGTCTCAATCTGATTTCCCCACGCTCTGCAGCAAGTGTGTGGTGTCTTCAGCAGCAGGGATTTAACATCTAACCCACGGCGTTTTCCATAGCCTATGGTTTGTGGGACTTCGGAGGCCTCCTTAGCCTGAACAACTCATGGGAATGTAGCCTACTCCCCACATCGGGATTTTTGTTCAACAACCTTAAAGTATCTGGCAGTGCCCTTTCCCGCTCATGGAGGACATCTTCCCTTAGGCTCTTTAATTCATGTCCTTCCTGTTCCTCAGATGATTTTATAGATACTTAAAATATTCAGAGATTATCATGATGTCATCTATGTAACCAAATGCTTTCATAGAGGTGGACAGAATAACAACGCAGGGTCCCAGACCCATCCCATGACAAAAAGACAGCCTTGGGGGCGGGCTCTGAAGATCCGTGGTTAGCCATACCATGTAAAAACAAATTGGCCTTGGGATCCAGAGCAAAGGGGCAACATTACCAAAGCTCAGTACCGTACAAAAAGATCTCATCGTTTTCATCAATTGATTTATCAAGAGAGGGGCATTGAATACAGAGCACAGATGGAATGTACATTAGCCTGTCCGGCCTTCCATAGCACATAGATGTTTTCCATGAACCTTCCAGCCTCCTCATCCCAGGATACTGTTGTTGCTTTAAGACCACTGTGTATCTCTTTGCCCTTGATGGCCCTGAAGGACCCAGCTCAGACTCTAACCTACTGTGCCCGCCATTGGAGCTGGGTCTCCAGTTCTGACAGGCACCCCCATCATCACGTCTTTTCATCAGCCACATCTGCTGATATGATGGCTGCCGGAGGAGCGCCAGGCTACTTAAACAATTTCCATCACTAGAATGGATCCATACATTCTTGCAGGGGAGAAATGTACACTGCATACTCCAGAGGTGGTAATTGTCCATCCCTAGGTCAAGTTTAACTTTTTATTTATTCATGTATTTTATGTATATGAGTGCTCTGTTTTCATGCACATCAGAAGAAGGTCCAATCTCACTACAGATGGTTGTGAGCCACCATGTGGGTGCTGGGAATTGAACTCAGGACCTCTGGAAGAGCGTCAAGTGCTCTTAACCACTGAGCCATCTCTCCAGCCCCAAGTTCAACCTTTTAGCTCTGCACTGTCCTATGATTTCTGTCCTCTGTGAACCACTGCTCGGGCTGTAGGTCATCAGAAGGTCACTAGCCCAGCATTTGGCACTCTGTTAATTTTCCTGTGGGAACTGTCTACACTAATCTTGTCACGTTTTCCTCTGAGTGACAGGGACAGATCCTTCAGTCTGCCTTGCCTTTCTCCCACACTCTCTTGATTGCTTCTGCATTTTATAAGAACAGTTTACATGCCATTCAGAGCCATTCTGAGTTCCCAGAGATTCATGAAGGTCACATCCCATCCTGGTCCCAGCAAGCTACTGAAGCGCCGGGGGCTCTGGCTGTCCTAGAACTTGCTATATAGACACACTAGCCTCAAACTCACAGAGATCCACCTGACTCTGCTTCTCCAGCACCAGGATTAAAGACGCACACCGTCACATCTGGCTACAGATCTCTTTCTTAGCTTTCCTGAGAATATGATTTTGTCTGACTTCATGAACTGGGCATCTACACTGCCTCTCATTCCCAATCCCCCCCAGCAACACCTTCTCCCCTCCGCTGTCTTTAAGTCCTTTTATTTATGGGACTAAGTGTCCCCGATGGCTCATATGAGCCATTTCATCAGGGATTAATTTTTCCCATTTTGCCTTGGGTTATGCAGCCTTTGTTTCAGGGAGGGATGGGTTGTTATGATACTCAGTTTCTCCATCTCCGCTCAGATTAATCCCATCTGCCTCTATTTCACAGCCACACAAGCAAGGCTGTCGGAGGCTCCTTCATTATTTTCAGCTTTCCCAATTCAAGCTGTTCAGATGCTGAGCGTGCCCTGAACATCATAGTTTCCCCATACTCAGTCATTACTAACGCCCTGTCTGCATATTGAATCATGGATTTTCTCTTCCTCTCCTCATGGTAAGACCTAAAGTCTGCCATCTTCTATCCTTCCCTCCCCCTTAATTACCCAGTTCCTCCCAAGGGTTCCAAGATTTTTGGATCCTAGGATGGGCTCTTTAGCATGTGCTTGACCTGCACTCTCTTTACCTTGCTTCCTGCCAGCTCTAAGAACAGCAAGCTAACACTCCTGTCTCGTCTTCTTTTCTCTGCTTCCCCAAACCGGAGGAGGCCCATGAGCAGATAACATCTGCATGACTTTCCTGCATTGCAATTCCTCTCTTCTGTGGGCAAGTTGAGTCAGAGGAGGCAACTGAATTTTGGTTTCGCATCTTTGCCTACAGCAAAAACCATGCAGCTGACACCATAACTTGCTCACCATGAATGCATCAACCATATCAAATTTAGGAAAATGGACACCCCAGGAGTCTCACTTGGACACTCTCAGATGGCCTGGCTTGGGTTGCATGCCCTATCTCCTATAGCAGGGGGCATGAAAACATCATTGCAGCAAGAAGGTTCACCATCCCACAGCACATGAAAAAAGTGGCCGTATCCAGGTCATCCCTGCAGATCCTCAGTGCATGCCTCAGCCTCTGTCACAGTGGTCACATACCCACATCTCCCTAACTCACTTTTGGTTCTGTTAGTTCATGTCCCAGCACCAATCATGTTGGCTGACTTTCTCGAGGAGACCAGATCATCTATTCAGGCCAGATGAGATGGCATCTGGCATGTCTCATCTGGCCTGTCCAGGCTACTGAACCAACGTGTTCCCCGGGTCACTTGCAGGAATGTGGTGATCCCTACAGGAGTGCAGATGGCTCAGAGGAAGCTGCACTGCTGCAAACCTAATTCCCACACAGGCTACAGCTCAAAAAAGCTCTTTGCTGGCACTCCTGCTCAGCTTGGGCCTGCGGGAGACGTCCTCCTCTCTACAGTTGTTACGCTTCTGTAACCCTACAGTTGTTAGGCTTCTGTAAACACACTGGGGTCTTGTAAGCTTCAGGAACTTCCTGGGGGAGATTTGAGGGCAAGTTTCAGACCGGAGGAAACAACCACACACACCCACTTCCACGAATCAGACTCAGACCCAGCAGCGTACCCAGAGCCTGTTATTCTGTTCCTAACCAGATCCTGAGAACCAAGCTGTTGGTAAAGCCCCACGGCAGAGGCATCAGCCTTGAAATTTGTTGCTGAGTATGTGCGAGCCTCTGATGCTTCACAGAGGCTCTGTCCTTGTGGGGTGCATCCAGCCCATGAAGAAACAGCAAAGAGGCTAGCGTTTTCACTGTGCACCTATAAACCTGATTGATTGATTGATTGATTGATGATTGACTGATGGATGCAGTTTTTTACTTTTATTCCCATGCATCAGTTCATTCATTCCACAAAGAGCCCCATACCCTCATCTGGGCACTGTGGAGCTGAGTGTCAGTTGTCACCAGCCGGAGACCTCCAAGAACTCATCTGGAATAATGGCATCTGGGAGGGGGCGGGTCAGGTTTCTGGTGTGGTGTTCCAAGCCTGTTTGGAGCCAAGTCCTGAACCCAGCAGGGAAGGAAATGTCAAAGAGAGACAGCGCAGGGAGGCTCAGAGCCTTGTGGGGTCTGCTCAAACGTGGCCTAGGGCAGTGGCCTTGTGGGGTCTGCTCAAACGTGGCCCAGGGCAGTGGCCTTGTGGGGTCTGCTCA